GTTCTATATTAAATCTTCATTCCAAAACATAGCTATTGCAAATAAATTGCTGTAACTGTTGATATACAACGTACAGAATGTTTAACTCCAGATTACATGTCAATTCCGCTAACCATTAATCCACTTGTAAATGTGCATCCTAAGGTTTAAAAGCGGGTTTTGCTACACACAATCACACGCACGCATATACTATAAGCTATTTAGATTCAATAAAAAATAACCCCACCATCTCAACTTCCCCCATAGAAGCTCATTTCAAGTAACACGTTTCTTGTGTGGATACACTACTCAATGAAGCAGGGGCCCAAAGCAATCCGACCTCAATCCGTCCCTAATCAAACTCTCGACCCTGTTTTCGGAGTCATCCACACCCGTTCCGACAGCGTGTTGACACGCGCCCCAATAACAATGTAACGCGTGTCGACAACAAAAATAAACCGTTGCTTCGTCACGAGAGCGGGTGAACGTTTGGGTACGGGACACCGGTGCCACCCTTGCCTGTCCTGATGGAGACCAGAGGGCTGGTGGAAGCCATGAAGGAAACACGGATGCGGTGATGCTACATCACTCGAAAAAGATCAAACTTAATTTTAACCCAAAAAATCATCAGCCTCGTATATGCCAGCCTTCTGGCCTCCAATAAGTTTATCCAACACCACCGATCCTAAACAAAATACACAACCTCACGTTTCCATAGATTTTAGCGTCATCCGTTCTAAACGCAGAGCACTCGGCTATCTGTGCCCATGTATCACTGTACAACGAGTGGGGAAAGCCAACTTGTGTTTATCAGTCATTAAATAGCTTTATACAGGGTCACTCCATTCGGCTGCACATCACTTGGTCACGAACAGCCAAGTAAGCCCTGTCTCACACCCTCTAGCGGGAGGCCTTGGGCCACTGTTACCAGATCTTTCGAAATAAATCCTCAACACAAATGGCCTAAAAGTTATAGATTTAGCAAAATATATCTGGACTTTTTTTTTTAAAGACAGCTACCGTAATGATGCATGCACGTATCCAGCACAGATACGTAAACCCGTGTGTAAACTTTGCCAATGCTAAATGTTCGACGGTGTGAGCTCCAGGCTTAACCTCTGATCTGGCAGCAATGGCTTGGGCCCCGCGAGTAACATTTTCCTTTGCAATTTTTTTTGTTTTAACACGACGACCGCGACGCGCAGGAACACGGGCGGCCCTCCCCCGTGCTCCCACCGTTGTGGGATCTTTTGCGTCCGCGATGGAGCAGACGGGATGGCTGGCTTAACGTCCCCTCCGAGGACGGCGCGTTTTACTCATTGTGTACCTTTGAGATGGATCATAATCACTAGGGCTGGTATAGGGGCCGACTTAGCCAAAGTTGGTTTCTGGAGCCAAGAGTTAACCAGGAAGATACCTTTCTCCATTGGCACATCCGAGCTGTGCCAGCAAGGGGCCCTCACGAGTATTGGTGTTTTTTTTTCTACTGGGCTATTTGCCATGCCGAGCCCGAACCAAACCGTGGCACGCTGGCCTTACAAGACATTTAATCTGGCTCGGGGCCAAGTAGGGGCAGACATCAGTTAATTTCGCTGCATAATCTACGTCCTGCTCAGCTCGTTTATTGCATGCGACGTCAGCAGCAACGGTTCGGTTTTTGGAATAGAAAAACAACTTTAGATGTGCCGGGCTGGCTTGGCACGACTCTGGTGTGGCTCGGTTGTGCAGTGGAAAAGAGGTAGGAGAGGCAACCACCTTAAGCCAGCGCTTCCCGCTCTCTGGCTATTGTGATCGAGCCATGGCTCCGCTTTTTGTGTTAACCAAGCAGAATCCGGAAGTCAGAGCATCTCCACGCGCATACAAGCGTGCGTCGGTGCTCTTCTCCAATGGCCTTTAGCCGGTTGGTGGAAATTCGACGTTCCCATGACGGTAAGGCTGTCTATACGTATTACAAAGTACCATTTAAGTAGTGCTACTTATTTTATCCACAACCGAAGGGACGATGGCAAGACACTGGGTATTCCGCAATATCCCACTCATGAGTCATCTCAGTCCATCATCCCTGTGGGTATCTATAAAATAAATACTATTATTGTGTAAAGTTATAACAGTGGCCATTCTTTGGATAAAATTATTGTGATTTAGTTTAATAAAGCATCTTTCAAGTAGTGACCCAGTGCCATCAATTGCCCAAGATCTGCAGTCCTTTGTAGATTACGATGTTTTCAGCCAATTAATAAGTGTTTATACATACAGGATGAAAACCGGAGCACCCGGAGAAACCCCAAGCTTGCAACACGATTTCCCACACAAAAAGGACAGATAATATTTAGTCTGCACTTTGATGCACCGCCTCATGTTGGTAAGCCATGGGATGGCACCTCGACACCCACGGAAATGAAGCAACATTTGTGTGATCCACCAACGCTCGCCTTCACAGTGCTGGATTATAGGCGTGCCATCACTGCCTGCCTAACACTAGTCGCCGCCTCTGCAATGTGGAATTTCCAACAGCAGCAGTCGATGTGCGTGCCGCGCTTTGCTCATTTGAAGCGTCACTTTCAATTTTAGACAAAAAAGACGTGGCATCTCAATGGGCCCGATCACACAATGCAAAGAACATGTCTTAATTGGCTTTTGGAGTAAACATTTGTTTTAATATCTTATTCTTGGGACCTTGTTTGTCAGTATCAAAGTATGAAAACATAGGAATAGGTTTTTACCCTTTCTGGCAATAAAACGGGTGTTAAGATGTCCAAACACCAAATGAATCATGTCTGCATTAACCACACGTACTCGTGGTGAGCATGCAACAAAACACTGATGAGACTAGGCCCTAAAGAAGGCTGTCTCTGGTGTAGACCAATCAGCATCCAACATCTTAAACGCGTCCTGTTTTATTGGCAGGAAGGGTAAAACATATCCTTATTTTTTTTCAATTTTATTCTTGCTTATTCCTTTCAACCCACGTGTCGTCTCCTTATCGTGACTATCTCCAGCCCCCGATATTAACGGCTTGTCGAGCTCATTGGATTTTTTCCATTGGAGATGGCTGGTGTTGAGTCTGTGGGTTCATATCGCATGGGGTGATCTTGTGGTCAAATCAGACTAAGTGATTGCCACCACTTGGGTCTAATGCCGCGATTAGCAGTGTGATAATGAACGAGGACCACTTTGTGGGAAGTCAACAGTGGCTGCATTGAGACACTGGCCCCCACCATAAAAATGTGGAATTTCCACCACTGGCTCCAGGCATCAAACAGATACAACCTCTGTCCCATTGTTCATTTGAGCAGGGAGACACTGACTTAAAAAAATACCTTGATTATGCTGTCCATATTTAAAAAATCCCAGGGATAAAAAACCAGCGCACCACTATTATTACTGGTGTCAGATAGCAATATCGATTATGAACTTTTCTCAGCTGTACGCATCACAGTGTACTTTAGCAATAATAATAATAATAAACACGTCGATGGATAAGATTGGTAGACGTGGAAAGCCGGAGCTTGGGCTGGGGAATCTCAACACTGGGGTCGAATAATCAAGGCCCTCTCTGAGCACTCACACAGGCAGGTGGGCAGGGATTGCCAGCACCAATGCCCCGTCCATAATTCTGACCTTGCGCTTTGCAACACTTCACTACTAGCTGTGGCTGTAGCATGGAGAAATAGTATAACACTGCCGATAACTTTGAAACACTTGTTATGCACCGATCCCACCGAAGCCAGTCTGTGTTTTTGACCAGGGGACTGCTGTCAGTAGCCTATTGTATATTGGCATTGTAGTATATGCAAACCTCAGTACATGCGTCAATCAAAAACTTGACCATGGATTTATAATATTGGAAGAAATTTAAGGCTACAGATGTGACATCATGCATATCTATAGTAGTAGAGATGGTGATCGAACAATTACTTACGAGATAATCTGGCCAGGTGGTTACAGTGGTCAGAGCAATCAACTCATAATCGGATAGTTGCGAGTTCAAATCCTGGTCAGAGGTTGACCCATCTCATTATGCCTTTGGGGTCGATTAAATAATACTACTTTGTGGGAAGTCAACAGCAGTCATCCTACAGCGAGACTGAGAATGTGGAATTTCCACCATTGGCTCAAGACACCAATGGAGATCAGCGCCACATCACTGCCCATTTGAGCAGGGGGACATCTTAAACTGTTTGCAATATACAGTATATGATGCATGTATATACTACACATTACAAGTATATTCAGCGTAAAGTATATTAACGTAAACTATAAATATACAAACAGTATAGAATGTGTAGTAATATGCACACTTACTTTACATACTTATATACAACAGCCGAGACAGCTCACTCACTCGGTAGAGCGGAAGGCTCATAACCTCAGGATACGCGAGTTCAAACCATGTACAGGGCTCCACCGAACACGTAATGTAATTGTCCCCCCAGCATAAGCACATCGCCGTGATTGTTGTGTTAGTGGCCAACGCAATCCAACACACTACTTCTTAACCGAGAATTAGGGGACTGTCAGCCGTGACACATGCCCTTTTGTTAGTCTATTGGTGGATGAGGGCCTCCTCATGCCATGTCACATGATCCACGAGTTATTTTGAGTCATAGTTCACCAAGCTGGCTAGTGCGGGTTGGTGAAGGAGGGGGCTGATGTGGCCAATTAAAAAAAAACCTGCTTTGAATGGTGATGACCCATCCAAACACTATCCAGGCTCAAACCTTGCTTATGTTCCAACATCTGACAAGATCAGGGAGTCTTCCTGGTGATTTGGTCAAAGGAAAATACTTGTAAATGCAGAATGTAAGTGTATATATGTAACATACAGAACAGTATACAACACAGTATATTAAATGGGTGCTTTTGCAGTTTGTATACTGCTTACATTTTTTGGCTAACCATCGAACAAAGACGGTCACCGCATCGTGCGCTTTCAGATGCGCTTCTGCAAACATCTGGAACGCTCTTCCAACATTAGGAAGCCACTGGAGCTATGCACTTTTCAATCTAAATTGAAAATGTATTTCATTAGAACCGCTTTTTGTGTTTAGTCTGTTGTCCTTTCCCCCGCACCTCCGATGAGCGTGTTTGGCTGCGTACGGTGCGAAAGAAGTTCAACATACGTAAGTACATAAAACGTTATATTCTATACTCTAATACAGTACACTACAGTAGAGTCCTGCATCGGTTTGGGTACCAGCTTGTTTTCGGGGTCGGAACGAAGTCGTCTTTACGGCTTGCGGTTCGGGGGCCGGGTCAGGAAGTCACGACTCAGGTCAGGTCGCGGGTAAAAAAATTTAGATCCACACATGACTCTACACTACAGTATTATGTACACTACACACGCATCCGAAACAGACGGAAGACAACTGCATATTCATTACCGTAGCTCAAAGTGTCTGCAGTGTTGGTGCTAAGCGTGTGGTAGAAATTCCACATTCCCATGACAGAGTTCAGTTTAACAGAGAACAACCACTTTTGACTTCCCATTCGTTGTTGCAAGCGGTGCTTATTTAGATATTTTATCGACCCTGGAGAGGAGTTGGTGATGATGATGATGGGGTCGGGTCAACCCTGGCTGGGGATTCAACTCGCACACTCACGACCGTGAGCGTTGGTAATCAACGAATAAAAGCTGAGTTCCTCTTACTGGAATATACATATACAGCATATTCATATATACAGTATAGTATATACAATGCACACACACATACACACACACATACATAAACACATTGTATATGCATGCCCACAGTATAATACACACATGTATATGCACATACTGTTTAGTGTATGTGACACCACAAGAAGAGTGCCTCATCCTAACTCTATCACGTCAGACTCGAGTACTTTGGACCCTTTACAGCTGCGGCGCATTTAACACTGTTGCTTTTGTGCAGTCGTCAAGCTTGAAACATATGGACCACCCCCCCCCCCTTCTCCTAATGATGCTCGTGTCCCCTAGATATGCAAACCCGCTTCAGGTGAATTACGCGCAGATGCGACGTCGTGCCTAACGGGGTGTCCGTCGCTAAACGTGGACGGTTCTGTCGACTACTTCGTCACCGCCACGCGCAGGAGAGCGCACGCGCATTTTAAGTTACATGATCACAAGTACAAAAAAAAATTAGCACATCATTCAGAGAAGACCGATCGACTCGAAGTACAGATTTTAGTGGGACATTTTTTTTTCCTATCGAATCTTTGGCCCACTAAAAGACCAATAAAACTTTAAAGGGACACTTTGTAACAACTCTGTTGAGGAATGAGAGAATTAGTTGCTCCAAATATCAGAGGCGACAAGCGGACTTTCAAAAACCCTTAGGGGTCTCGGCAAAGACTATAAAGACACAATTTGAAATCCAAGTCAGGGGTCGACTCGGCACATTGTCTTTCCAAGGCATTTAAAATAAGTACCACTTTTTGGTAGGTCAACAGTGGGCATTCTATGGAGAAAAAAGCTGCCACCATGAGAATGTGGAATTCCCACTGCTGGCTTAGGGCTGGCGATGGGGATTAGCTTCATGCCCCATTGCTCATTTCAGCAGGGAGACAACTTTTGTTAATGTGACACAAAATTTGATACAATCTTTGTATCACATCATACTGATGGTTTAAAGTATACGCCACCAAAATTGTCAGAACTGCCATCTGTGATCGTTTACATCAAGGGCACCCAAAAATGTTCCCATGGTTGTAAGGAGAGAGAACCCAGAGCCCACCAATACCTCAACCCATCCTCGTTTCTTGAAGCACTTTTTGAGAAAGCGAGGAATGCGAGCCGTCAGCAACAACAAAAAGCCGCATGGTGGTACAACAGAGATGGTAAAAGAGCGGCCCATGCAGACACGGCTACGTGGGGAAAAACCAAACGCCGTCACGGAACGAAGCGACGGAACTTGTGGCTCGGCGGCAGCAGGATCCCCACCTGCCAGCCCCAGGGCGCCACTGGCTTCTGCGGCGGCACGCCAAAGCGGCCGGCGCTGACCGAGTACGCGGGACTCAGGTCCCCGTCGTCTCCCAGCACGAGCGACGGCGGAGGTGGGAAGTTGGATAGGAAGCTGAAGGAACGCAGGCCGGAGGAGGAGGAGGAGGCGGCGGCGGCGGCCGCGGCCGCTCCGGCAGCGGCGCCACCCGGATGCTTATGGGCGGCGCCCCTCACTCCTAGCGGTGCCGTCGAAACGTCGGCATCCGTCGACCGGCGCGTGCCGGCGCCGACTCCCGTTGCTGGCGCCGCCGTCCCCCGTCTCCTCTGCGCGGCCACGCTTGCCCGCAGTGTCTTCCTGTCGCGCTCAGACCTCCTTCTCCTCCTCGGGGCGGTCGCCCTACGGCGTGGCTGTACAGGCAGCCGTTGCCCCGAGGCCATCTGCGCCGGTGATGGGCAATGCTGGGGCAGCTCACCCTGCTTGGCCGATCGTGCCAGAGGTGGTCGGCCCCTGGCCGACCTTTCGACAGTGACTCCGCCGCCGATGTTGATGGTTGAGCTGGTGCTGGCCCCGACTGTATCTCTTCTTATTCTCCTCCTCGCGTAACTGGAGCTCCTGGCTCGTCGCCGGTCTGAATTCTCACCGTGAGCTCTCTTGTCGCTCTGCCTCCTCTTCACCTTCCGACGGCTCACCGAGGGCCGTGCGTCTCGTCGCGCTCTGTCTTTAGAGAGGTGTCTGAGCGAAGCTTCGGTAACAGCGGCAGCAGCGGCGACAGGCGCGGCAGGGGGCTGCCTCGCATTTCCAAAAAAAACCCCTTCCGGAACCTCCTTCTGCTGCTCCTCAAACGTCACTATTGGCTGAAAAGTGGCGCTTTCAGAGCCGACGGCACTGCCCTTGTTGACCACGTCAGGGCGGTCGGAATACCCGTTGACGTTGCTGTGACCGAATCCCGCCTTCTCCTTCATGGCAGAAGAGACTTTCCCGCCGCCGCCGGCCATTTCATTGCCAACACCCAACCGGGTGAACGCCGAGAAGCCCACGCCGGTGGAGGACTGCGGCGTCAGCCTGTTGGACGGCGTGCCGCTTGTATAATGCTTCAGCGTCCAGCTCTCATCCTGCTTTCTCAGCACAATCGGCGTGCTGGGCACGGGTGGCGGCGGTGGCATCGGCGACGGCGACAGTGAAACGCTGGACACCGAGCCGGACTCGGACGTGCCGGAGCTGCAGGCCGAGTTCGGGCTCGTCAGGCTTTCGTTGTCGTCGTCTTCGTCGTCGTCGGAGCAGGAGTCGTAGGGGTCCACGGTGGCCTCGTGCCCCGCAGCTGCCGCTGCTATCACTGTTTCCGGCCGGTCGTCGGCGGCACGGGCCGCGGAGGAGGAGCTGCACGTGGGGGCGCAACAGCCTGTGTGGGCCCGCTCGCACGTGTCGTACGCCAGTGCCGCCTTCCCGTTGACGTAGCCATTCTGAAACCCCTTGAGCGAGTGCCTCTCCAAGAATGGCTGATTCGGCAGCGTCGCCTGTTTGTAGGTGGACATAGCGGCCCCACCACCGCTGCCACCGCCGCTGCCAATTCCTGTCGCTCTCCCGGTATGGCTGACTTGTTTTGTGCCGCCGCTGCCAGCGTACACGTTCTTCTTCAGGAACAGCCGCTCGTAGGCCCACGGTTGACCAGTCACCTCCTTGGACGCGCTGCTCCAACAGGCCATCCCCGCCTGACGTCCGTCTGTGCTGTGGTCTCCCTTGATGCCGCCCCTTGGCACCTCATGGACCCCGCGCCGTTCCGATGCCTCTAACAGTGTGGGGTCCAAATGCACGCCACCACCACCACCACCACCACAGCCGTTACTTCCCGGAAAAATTACATCAGAGCCGTATGCCTCAAACGTCCCGCAGTCTCCCCCACTGCTACCACCTCCACTGCCGTTTAAAAGCTGCTGCGACTCCATCCCGGCCAGTTTCCTCTTCTTGGCGTCGGTGGGTCCGGGGACGGCGGTGGCCTTGTGTGGCGCGGGAGCGCTGGCGTTAGGCGCCTGCGGCTGGGGCACCATCTTCCTGCGCCTCTTCTTGGTCTTGAGCACAGGCTCGAGCTTGCAGGACGTGTAGAGTGCGAGCATGTCGGAGCGCGAGATAAGCGTGCACTTGGCCGAGTGGAATGCGATGGACTTCATGGCCTTGAGCTTGCGCAGCTCTTCCAGGTCGCACTGGTGCTTCTGCACGTGCAGGTGGTCCATGCGCTTGTGCACAGTCGTGCGCGGGATGTTCTGCAGCAGGTCCGTGAATACCTGTGAGGGGGACATCCTGGTCAGCATCCCTTGCTCTGCTCATTTCAATTGGGTGGCCGCGTTCATGGGGGACAGAGCGTGGGGTGGCAACTTATGGACAGCCATGTGCTGTGTGTCCCTCAATAATGTTCACAGGCCCTCTTGGCTACTCGACATGAGCCCCCCACTGTTGCGAGTAACTTCCCCCCAACTTCAAAATAGTTTCTACGCACCTACAAGATTATATTGGCACGTAAAATAAAGATTGATTGCGGAACCTACAACCCATTGGTCGAATCCGGCATGTGGTCACCTAAGGACTACCGCTTCGAAAGAGCCTGCAAATTTAAGTAAATCATCACTGCAAGCATCTTAGCGACACTAATCAGGCACGAGAGGGGAATATGTTTGACCTAACAACACTTTTAATTGCATCGCTGTGCTCAGTGACAGAAGCAAGGCAGTGGAAGGTCTTATTGGGCCCTCGGTACGGACACAATTCCCCCGCCCCTCATCTAAACAGGCTCTGCAGGCACCTACCTGTGAGAGGGCGAACATCTGCACGTCTTTGATCACCAGGTATCCCAGCTGGACGCCGTCCACGCAGTCCTGGCCGCTCTGCTCATCGTGCAGGGCACAGGTCGTGGCGCCGGACGGTGGGGCTGCCATTGGGCCCGTGCGTCTGTCCGTCCGCGCGCACCGTGGAGACCGTGGGGCGGCAGCAGAAGCGAGGCTGCTCTCATCACAAAGGAAGACGAGAGGAAGCCCCCACCCGCATGCCTGATAAACCCTCTCGAGCAGCGAGTCTAAATGCTACGATTTTGTCACCATAACCTTCAGTGAAATTCACAGGAGAGGTGTGCTACTCAAACATTGATTTGTGGAAATGTCATGCAACAGGGTGGGGCAATTTTTGTTAAGGAAATAATAACAATCATTACTTATTTGTCCATGAAAGGCACGCTGAATCCAAGTACTCTTTTTAAAAAGGGATCCTGATTTGGGTTTTTATTTAAGATATGATTAGCTTATTTGAGTGTTTACACACGTAGGAGGAAACCGGAGTACCTGGAGAAAACCGACATGTCCGAGGGAGTGACACTGTATCCCCATGAAAATGAAAACAGATCGAGATGAGTCCACTCTCTGCACTGCCTTCTTCTGGCAAGCAAGGGCGATGCACGACGCCCACGGGAATGGAGGTTTAAGAACATTTGCGTGATCCGCCAACCCCCCAATACAGGAAGTGACTGACATGAAGCGTTTTTTTTTAATTTGCCATTTTCCAAGATTTCACAAAATGCATTCGCGTTCACATTCTCCCTGACCGCTAACAAAATCATAGTCTTCAGCACCGTCCACTGCGGTGGACCGTGATTATTCGCGGCAAATTTCAGCCGCCAGTGCCCACGGGCACCAAAACTCTCGGTGCGTTCAGTCTTCCCCATGGGACGCCATCTATCTCGTGTGGCAACCTGGTGGTGGGCGGCAGGAACACTGGGTAAAGCGTATAGCTTGGCAGTCAAGAGGGTTAGCAGCTGGCGGAGGCTTCGTGTCCAATGTAATGAACAATGATCAGAATTTTGAGATTTTTTTTTTATTAAAAGTGTTCAGCATATTTGGGGGGGGGGTTCCATTAACTAAAATGACATTAAACCAATAACAAAACTGGGTTTCCTTTCAATAATTTAATTAATGAGTGGGTTAACCTGGCAGGCTGTCGACGCATTGACATGCAGACGTGAACAGCCTTAGTAAAATCCACTGCTGGATGAGGTCCTCCCAGTGCCATCCAGGTCATGGGGGTCGTTTGATGACTTAAATTGTCGTTTTAAAGTAATCCTAAACATGAATTCACATTACTGACTGGCTGAAACCTGCCTGCAAATTTCCCCGTGATATTTGTGAACAATTTTCAATGCAGGCCTCTCCAAGACCAACATTTTACTTGGGCAATAATTGCCAATGAACTCGGTGTCAATGCGTTGCCAGGGCCTACAGCCAGAGGTATAAGCAACAAATTAACAGCAGTATGGAACGTGACACCTAATATTGATTTTATATCCCTGTGATGCTATGCATGCATGCATGTATGCATGTACGTGCAGTTGTATTCAGCATAGTTGTTGAGCTGTGCATTTTGTAAACCACAATATATTTTGAAACAAATGTAACCATTGAATTCTGGACGTATTCAATGAGAGGCAGACAGATGTATCCATCTCACTTAGGATAAAATAAAGCGAAAGCATCTTCAAACAAATGTGCGATGATGCTCATCTATCTTGGTGTTCTTAATCCAGTGATGGAAATTCGGTAAGGACCAGTCTCTGTCAGGGAATCGAACTGGTTGACTTTCGGGTATGGTTCGGTTTAACCCAAGACCATTTCAACCAGTCAGGGTTCAATGGGTTTAAATCAAAAGATTCAGTTACTCTTAGCCGTTGATAAAATCGGCACATTGATAAAATATCTCTCGTGTAGTCTCCAATGTGGGCTAAACGGGGGGTCTTTGTTTTGCTGTCTTTAAGCTAATGTGCAATAAATAAACATCGTAGCGTTATGCTTAACGTAATAATTAGAGCATGAATTCATGTAATTTAAACAAATACCGTGCGACGTTTATTGTTTTGCTTCACAGCTCTCATGGTGCACGCATTCATGCAAGCGTGAAATTACAGCAAGTAAAATAATGCCCACACCACAAGCAATAAAATAAACATTAAAACCAAGACATGAAGATTGCACAGCATTTATCAAATTCACTTTAATGTTTAATGATTGTGTTCTAGTTAAAGTTACAATCAATCCATTAATTAAAAAATGTGTATAAATATGTTATTTAATTGGCAGGCCGAAGGCGTTTTGTCTGTTGGTGCGTCTGTTCATGAATTTGCTTCCCCTAAGTCGACTCAGCCTCAAATGAGTACCTGGTATGGTGTGTGAACATTGATACTGCAAAGACAAAGGCGGCCGGGTGTGGTGCTAGCCACCCACCCCCTCGTGTGCCGTGCTGGCTTTCATAGGTGCTCGCTAAGAGCACTTGCCCCAAAAGCATGTTAAGTCTACATAGGGGATCTTTGTCTTTGCATCTGTCGCTATCCTAGTCAGTTTTTTTCCTGTGTATGCTTCTTTGGGCACCCTGGTGTCCTCCCACATGTAACTGAGTTGTCAATTATAAAATGGCCAAACAAACTAGGACAGGACCCACTATAAAGACAATTGGGATTCAATGAGGCTGTGTCCTCAATAAAGAACACTATTTTGACAAGGTATATAGTATTTTCCCTAAAAATGTTACTGGATCTTCAGATGCGGCTGAAATTAGATGCTACATTAATCCAAATTGTATTGTGCTCTATACTGTGGAACTTTCAATTACCGATTTACCTTCAAATATGCTCATATTGTTAAGCAGATGTGTTTAGCTTGCATGCTTTATATTAAATAAGTCAAAGTTTTGGTGGTGCTCATCACCCATGGTAGCTTTAAGCCAAGAGTGGACATTTAGTATTCCTACAGTGGGGGTCAGTCCCTCCAGTGAATATAACCAATATTGACCTCCCACAAAGCGGTACAATTTTTTTGAAACCTGGAGTCCATAGCCAAACACGATCTGAACTTGCAATCATTTGATTGTGGGTCACGAGCTCTAACCACAGCACCGCGTGGGCTTTTTTCACGTTTTTATTTAAATGCACGCTGCATTTTCTGTTTCTCTTTCCCGCGAGTGGGAACGGTTATCACTGTCCGGCACGCTGTCCGTGCGAGTCGCGAGCAGAGATACGCTTCCCGTTAACCCCCTTATCAGTAGGTCCGAGCCACAACCCCCCGCAGCACTGCCGCACGCCCGCGCAGACGAAATTCGGGGAGGACTCAGGGTGAGATGGGAACGTGGGGTGACACGGGCACGCGATTTTAAAACTCCTCCAAGCTGCGACGCATTTTTAAATTCTCTCTCCCGCTAAAACAAACCGTCGCTTATAAAATCGCTCGGCCTATAACGGCGCACAACTTTCTCTCTGTCCACCGAGTGCCGACACGATATTTGCGTGAGTGTAAGCGGCTTGCCGGACCCGCAGCCTGTGCACCTGTATTTTCATTAGGGCTCTCTGTTTTTGTTATTTTAACAGGGGCTGTATTTTTACACAGTGGCTGCTCTTTTATGCCACATGCAGCTTGTTTACAAGGAGGCCTAGTTTGTTTTATTATAAATATTTACCACACAGCATGGCTCTGTTTGGATGCACGCAGCTGGTTATAATGGGCTGCAAATGCCATATTTTGTTTTATTACGGCGAGGAATATACATTATTAGCTTAAAGTGAGCGGGGCATTCATTTGCCGATGACGCCAGCACTCAATGGTCTACTCTTGCATTAAGAGCCCTTACGAGAGACCTGTGCTTGTTTTGGGCTGCCCAGCTTTCTCATACGGAAGGTTCATGTTCAAGAAACCACGATGGATAATGCTCTTGATGCCACTCTGCCACGCCATTGCTTCCTTCTTCCAGATCCCTCAACTGTTGCAGAGCTGGCAACTTACCTCCCAAGTTCTGCTCTTACAAGTATCCCAATTATCACAGCCACCATGGTACCCAAGTTCTGCTCTTACAAGTATCCCAATTATCACAGCCACCGTGGTACCCAAGTTCTGCTCTTACAAGTATCTCAATTATCACAGCCACCGTGGTACCCAAGTTTTGCTCTTACAAGTATCCCAATTATCACAGCCACCATGGTACCCAAGTTCTGCTCTTACAAGTATCCCAATTATCACAGCCACCATGGTACCCAAGTTCTGCTCTTACAAGTATCCCAATTATCACAGCCACCATGGTACCCAAGTTCTGCTCTTACAAGTATCCCAATTATCACAGCCACCATGGTACCCAAGTTCTGCTCTTACAAGTATCCCAATTATCACAGCCACCATGGTACCCAAGTTCTGCTCTTACAAGTATCCCAATTATCACAGCCACCATGGTACCCAAGTTCTGCTCTTACAAGTATCCCAATTATCACAGCCACCATGGTACCCAAGTTCTGCTCTTACAAGTATCCCAATTATCACAGCCACCATGGTACCCAAGTTCTGCTCTTACAAGTATCCCAATTATCACAGCCACCATGGTACCCAAGTTCTGCTCTTACAAGTATCCCAATTATCACAGCCACCATGGTACCCAAGTTCTGCTCTTACAAGTATCCAAATTATCACAGCCACCATGGTACCCAAGTTCTGCTCTTACAAGTATCCCAATTATCACAGCCACCATGGTACCCAAGTTCTGCTCTTACAAGTATCCCAATTATCACAGCCACCATGGTACCCAAGTTCTGCTCTTACAAGTATCCCAATTATCACAGCCACCATGGTACCCAAGTTCTGCTCTTACAAGTATCCAAATTATCACAGCCACCATGGTACCTGAGCGGTCTGCAGAGACCTTCTTAATCCGGGCAACTTCCAAGCCATCATGGGGAATTTTTAAAGGAGTCCATGTAATTGTGTGGTGGTTGTTGGCTGAAGTGCTTTGCGATGGCCACTCTATTTCCCATTGTCACTACTGGAGGCCCATCTGCCTTTGGTGATGCTGCGAGTACCTAGTGACTGACTGCCCTAGGGGTCGGCAATCAAAATAACAAGACATTTTTTTCGAATTCGGTAAAAAAACTCAATGTTTCAAGAGCCGCAATGCTTGTGAATTCGAGACGGTGGTGGTCATTAGGA